AGCTGCCATCTTGAATGGAGTTGAAAGCGTGCCGTCATGACGTCAAACTATAACCATAGGACGCTGTCGTTTTGTTTCTCTTTAGTTTGTTGCTAAGTTTGTCCATTAAAAGTATTATTCAAACTTTTGTGCGATTGGTGTCAGTATTATTATGATCATGTCCTCTTTCATTGTGTGTGCATTACTAGCTTGGGTATTATGCTTAGATTACACGGTCAAGTTTTCGTCAAATTTTAGTCAACTTTCTTTTCAAATGCGCTATTTATTAAAACAAACAAAAAACAAAAAAATAGTGCGCTCAAACAGGAATTTGTCAAAAAATGGGAATCGGGAGAACTTGGCATAACATCTGTAGAAGACGCCAAGAAGACGGTCTAAACTGAGTTTATAAAACCACCCAAATTTCTGTATTGATCTCCTAGTGATACAACAGTGTCGTATTCAAACATAAATATTGTATTGAAAAAATGCAGGGGTGGAAAGGGAAGGGGGGGGGGGTTGGATGTATTGAAGCCTGGCGTTCAGTCGTGTCGAGAGGTCGCGTTGACATTAACTTGATTTCTTTAGTCTGGGTTCATAGCCCCGTGAACACACGGGTTCACCGCTGGTTGGTGACGGCCAATAAATTGTCGTATTCGAACATAAAGATTGTATTGAAAAAATGCAGGGGGGGAAAGGGAAGGGGGGGGGGGTTGGATGTATTGAAGCCTGGCGTTCAGTCGTGTCGAGAGGTCGCGTTGACATTAACTTGATTTCTATAGTCTGGGTTCATAGCCCCGTGAACACACGGGTTCACCGCTGGTTGGTGACGGCCAATAAAGCACAGCATGAATACAGCAGCCACCGGCCTAACATTTATCTGCACGTATCTCTCCACACAATTGGCCTCTTTCATTGACTGCCGTCTCAATAGAGAGCTTATGAAAGATCTGCACACCCATAACTCTTCAAAGAGTTTTTTGGGAGTTTTTTTGTGGCCATTTTGTAAGTTTGCCCCAACCCCCCTCTCCCCCCCCCCCACCTTCCATAAAAGACGTCCAAAACTGTTTTGACCCTTCTCACATTATTTTAAAAATAAGGTCATGTAGGACGAAGCGCATTTAGGGCTTTTGTAGGACCTGGGCGTATGCAACAATTGGTTGGGGGGGGGAGGGTGTTTATAAATATCTTTGTTATTTTTGTATGTGCCGACTCTTAAATAGAGCAACTTCATAATGTTAACTGTAAGAAGTAATCGTTGAATGCTGTTTATAAAGACGTTTAACATTTTAAATACTGTAACCATAAAAGGCTTAAAAATATTGACAACAGAGCTGGTTAAATATTATTAAAAGAAATGGTTAAAATTATGTACAGCTGAATTAGTTTAGACACTGTTATCAGAACTGACTAAACGCTTTGAAAAGGGGAGAGAGGGGAGGGAAGGCAATGCACACAGGGTCCCAGGGCCATGATATATTTGTTATGTTGCTAACGATGAATGCAATCAACATCATGAAATGTGTATACATGTGTTCTTAGATAACAACCGACGTCATCTTTAAGAGATGAGGTACAGAATTATACGAAATAAATGAGTTATTAAATGAGTAAATAATCGCTAACAATGAACACTCTTCCAATGACTTAAGAATAAGCTCGTTTTGTATCCTCTAAACCAGTGGTGCTCAACCCTTCGTACTGCCGCGACACTTGAATACAGTTCATTTTATGGATAATCGATCCAAAAAAAATAAAAAAATTCTTGTCGCTTCTTCATTCATATGTGATTCCTTATGGTCTTAGGCGACCCATATGTAAGAATCGTTCGACCTCAAATGTGGTCGTGACCCACAGGTTGGGAACCGCTTCTCTTAACTCTTAAAGTCTGAAGGACGAGTAATTTTTAAGAAAGAAGTTTTGTCAGGCTACTCTGTCACACAGTCAAGGTGTCCTTTTGGCCAAGTAGACAGGGTACGATTTTTACAGGCCCGTTTACCCCTAGGTTAGCGTCATCCTAGTTTTCAGCTCTTGACAATGTAATTGCAAGCTCATTGGCGTAAAGAGGTCAACTAGCCCTGGGGGGTTGGGGGGTGGGGGGCTTATTTGGAATCATAATAGAAATTGCGTAAGGAAATTCACTCAACTGCTTATGTAAGCTAACATAAATACATAGACAGGATTTGATCCTACGATTCGTTTCTTAAGTATGAGAAAATGTCTTAGGTAAGCACCTAACATTGGTAGTTAAGTAGTAACAACGCAATACGTCTTAGGTAAGCACCTAACATTGGCAGTTAAGTAGTAACAACGCAAAACGTCTTAGGTAAGCACCTAATATTGGCAGTTAAGTAGTATCAACGCAAAACGTCTTAGGTAAGCACCTAACATTGGCAGTTAAGTGTTAACAACGCAAAACGTCTTGAGTAAGCACCTAACATTGGCAGTTAAGTGTTAACAACGCAAAACGTCTTAGGTAAGCACCTAACATTGGCAGTTAAGTGTTAACAACGCAAAACGTTTTAGGTAAGCACCTAACATTGGCAGTTAAGTGTTAACAACGCAAAACGTCTTAGGTAAGCACCTAACATTGGCAGTTAAGTAGTAACAACGCAATACGTCTTAGGTAAGAACCTAACATTGGCAGTTAAGTAGTAACAACGCAATACGTCTTAGGTAAGCACCTAACATTGGCAGTTAAGTAGTAACAACGCAATACGTCTTATGTAAGAACCTATTATTGGCAGTTAAGTAGTAACAACGCAATACGTCTTAGGTAAGCACCTAACATTGGCAGTTAAGTAGTAACAACGCAAAACGTCTTATGTAAGAACCTATTATTGGCAGTTAAGTAGTAACAACGCAATACGTCTTAGGTAAGCCCCTAACATTGGCAGTTAAGTAGTAACAACGCAAAACGTCTTAGGTAAGCACCTAACATTGGCAGTTAAGTGTTAACAACGCAATGTTCTAAAAAAAAATATTCTGGATTGGTTCATTGAGATCGATACCACGAAGGCCTATCAATGTTACTCTTATTCGATTGCCAACGGTGTAAACACAAAATATGAGATAACTTTTTTAATGAAAACACCGCAGTTATTTAGTTTTTAAATTAAAAAACAAAAGAAACGAATGAAAAGACTCCCAAAAGGCATAGCTTTTATTAGGCTCGTTTTACTACCGCAGTCTTGGGCTTAAAAACTTAGCTACAACGGCGAAAGCATAGTGGTAAACATGTATTGGTATCTTTTCTATAAATGATTCACTTTGTGCACTGCTCAGATAGATCTCTGACCCTATGATAACTTTTTGAAATGCACAGATAGATGTGGGACCCTTGTTAACTTTGTGCAATTTTTCAGGTAGCTGTGCGACCCTTTGTGAATCTTGGTTAATGCTTAGGAATGACAGGGATATGTAGAAAACACAGCATTTTACATAGCCTTATGTACCCACTAGAGAGCTCCGCTCATCCGATAGTGGCAAAATATCGATACCGTGTGTTCGCCTTGAGACTAACGGAAAGCGCACTTTTGCATTTGCTGGCCCAACAATTTGGAACGCACTTTCAGTCGCTCTCAGAAACAGCCAGACACTGGAGTCATTTAAAACCAATTTAAAAACACATCTATTTCGTAAACATCTTCTGGGGTGATGCTATCTACCATCTTTTTCAGTTAATGCATATCGGCTTGTGTTGCTTATAGCTGAAACGGGATAAAAGACTTTGAATGGGTATGTTCGTGTGTAGCTTTATATTGTTGCGTCTGTTTTTAAATGTAATACATTTTAGAATGTTTTCCTTTTTCTTTTTAATAGGATTGACTTTGTACCGCGCTTCGAGCTTTTGGGAATGAAGCTTGTTTTTCAAATAAACTTTATTATTATTATTATTATTATTATTATTAGGTAGTTCTAGGAACATAGACAAGCGTGAAAAGCGTGGCTATCTTTGGGACGGTGTCTTAATCTTTTGCAGGACGTTCCATGCATTCGTGCGGTGATCGCTCCTGGAGCAACCGCAGCTTTTCACTGCATTCCTGGAGAAGGTGCCGTCTCTCAAATTCTTGAATCGCATTCATAACAGAGGGTCTCTTTAGCCTTGTTCCTCTGTACCCATCGGTCTTTTAATTGAGAATGGTCCACTCGTTGTTTTTTTCCCACCGGACGGTATCTTTCCAACGTCATTGGAATAGCTTTGCGCCTCCTAATGATGAGACTTAAAATGCTGTCTACGGTGAGTGGTGTCCGCAACAGCCCGCACTCTTGAACCTATAAGCGGGGTTATGTGTGTGCGTTCCAGACCCTTCAAAGCAGTGCAGCTCGCAGAAGTCTGAGTGGACAGGCTGTAGTCATTCATATCCCCCAACACCGATCCACACACCTTCTACTCTCACAAGGTACAGCATTCCTAGGAGTCTTGTATCAGCTACCCAGATTGTGCTTGCCAGTTTATCTAGACCTTACTTCGAGTAGGCCCGAGCGCCGAGCTCAAGTATACTGTTATGAAGCTGAAAATTTTAGGTCCTACTTCACTCGCGTATAAGTTCATATCTTTTCCCATTTGAACTTTTTTGGTCCCACTTCACGCGCGTATAAGTTTACACTTTGTCTCATTTGAACTTTTTGGTCCCACTTCACTCGCGTATAAGTTTACATATTTTCCCATTTGAACTTTTTGGTCCCACTTCACTCGCGTATACATTTACACTTTGTCCCATTTGAACTTTTTGGTCCCAATTCACTCGCGTATCCATTTACACTTTGTCCCATTTGAACTTTCATTTGCACACGTTTAGAATTGTACAGAGTGCGCACTTTTGAGGCGGTTGCGCCTAAATTATGGAACAGTTTAAATCTTTAAGTGAAATTGAAAATAATAAAAAGTCATTTAAGAAACATTTAAAGCCGTTTTTTCTTAAAATAGATTTCAGGCCACTAGAGCGCCGTGAGCAGGCTAGAATAGTATGGTAACAAGTGCTACAAAAGTACTTAATCATCATCATCATCGTCATCATCCTTTTTGATGGCATTCCTAACTTTAGTAAACAGTGAGTACACAGTCTTCTCTGCATTTACCACCTTTCCCACTTTTCAGTATAAGTTTCAGACTTTCTTGAAGCTGGCTCATCAGTTGCTGAACGTGCTTGCCAGAGCTGCAGATTACTAGTTCATCTGCGAACATTTTGCGCAATTTTTTTTCAGTATAGGTCGTATACATATACCAGATACAAGGAGCAGCTCAAGGTTTATCCCCGTGGGAGTACACACATATTGCATCCCATGGCCACGATTCTCGTGTCAATCGGGCTCTCTTTGCCACGATTCTCGTGTCAATCGGGCTTTCTTTGCCACCATTCTCGTGTCAATCGGGCTTTCTTTGCCACGATTATCGTGTCAATCGGGCTTTCTTTGCCACGATTCTCGTGTCAATCGGGCTCTCTTTGCCACGATTCTCGTGTCAATCGGGCTCTCTTTGCCACGATTCTCGTGTCAATCGGGCTCTCTTTGTCACGATTCTCGAGTCAATCGGGCTTTCTTTGCCACGATTCTCGTGTCAATCGGGCTTTCTTTGCCACGATTCTCGTGTCAATTTATTTGCTCCATGGTCTCCAACTGTGATAGTGTTGATGTCAGGTTGGCCGAATCATCGGTAGACACGTAAGGATTATATGTTTTTGTGGTGTCGCCCACATCCGTTGAAGAGCCAGACATCACCTGGGTGGAAAATTCGCCAGTCTGTGTCAAATTAATCGTGTGCTCATTTGTTGCATTATGTTCCTCATCAGTTCTTTGCTTGTCTGTGATGACGGTTTGAGATGTGGTGACATCTGTGCCAAACGTTGTCTGCGCCCTTGGATCTTCCTCCCCAGTAAGTCTTTTTAAATAGGCATGAAGGTCACTTGAGTTGGCATCCTAGGAAAAAAAAGAACACAGTGATTTATACATTAGGAAATGACGTAGTTTCCTTGATAACAAAAATTGTCATGACTAATTTTGAAAAAAATAAGTTGGGGGGGGGGGGATATTTGAGTGTTAGCAAATCAAAATTTAAGTAACTGACTTTGTTTAGGGTCAAACTTATTTCTGGGACATCTTTCAACATAAACTTGAAATTAGATTAAATAATCGCTTTCTGCATTATAAAATCCCACTGTAAACGTGCTCTCCGTCACAAATAGATCAGCTTGGTTTAAGTTGAATATAGTTTTTATACAATACAAACCTCGCATTTTTAAATCAAGTTTTACAAGAATGAATAAAGTGGTACATTGAAATCAATTACTCTAATCTTTTAAAAAAACAAAAACACATACTGTAGATGGTTTAAGCATGTCAGAGACGCCCAGTGGATGACACATTGATGAACGTGTGTTGGTCGCGTGCATGTAGGCGCCAAACTTGTTTTGGTTGTTGCCTAGCCCAATTTGATGGTAGCTTTGTGTGGTTGAGTCGATCGGGTAGTGACAGCCGGAGTAGTACGTCCCTAAAGAGTTGTCACAGCGTTGTTTTTTTTATATATATATATATATATATATATATATATAAAATCCATGTCGGCCATGATAAGCCCATTAAAGAGACAAAAACAATAAGTGTCTATTAAAATTTTAAAATAAGTGTTTTGTTCTGAACAAAAATTATAAGAAAGCAGTTTGTTGATTGCTGTTTATTTATGTGCTTCACTGAGTCATCAAATTCTATCCATCATTAGAGGCGGAAGACTGCCATCAAGCTTTAGGTGCGCAAATATCATAAAGCACAGTTTATATCTAATTTGCGAAGAAAAAACAACACAGTATTGGCAGAAAGCCTTCTTCAGCAACAGATCAAGCAACACAGTTGAGATAATATGAATATAACACAAAATTAACGCATACAAAATGTACCCAGTATATAAATAAGACGTACAAGTGAGTAAAGGATTATTTTAAACAAAATACTTTCAGATATTAGATCTGATATTGGCCGAAGACATCGAAAGGTTATATTCGATCTGATATTGGCCGAAGACATCGAAAGGTTATATTCGATCTGATATTGGCCGAAGACATCGAAAGGTTATATTCGATCTGATATTGGCCGAAGACATCGAAAGGTTATATTCGATCTGATATTGGCCGAAGACATCGAAAGGTTATATTCGATCTGATATTGGCCGAAGACTTCGCAAGGTTATATTGGATCTAAATGTTGAAAATTCATTTTAATTTGATGTAACAAAAAACGCATACTGCTTTGAGCCAATTAAATATCATTGTGCCGTTGTCATTACCCAATCAGATTTATCTTATAATTATAGTTTTACTTGTTTGAGCGCATTTATAAAAACACTATTCTTAAAAAAGAAAAGGGCTCTGTAGCATCTTGTTCACTGATACTACCAAAAAGCTTTCAGTGTTATGACGAAACTAGATACACCAGACATTTAATACAGTTATAGAGGTAAGGAGATAAAAAATATAAAAAATTCTGTTATAGAAATAAATAGCAGAGTACAAATTTGTTGACTGTTTTTTTTACCTGTGTAAAAATGTTCACTGCTTCTATATAAATTAAAGTGTAAATTTATCTGTTTACTGAAATGTTCCTTTTGGGGGGGGGGGGGGTGGGGGGGGGGAGTTTTGAACTTTTTTACTCTGAAAATTTTAATGGGGGGGGGGGGGGGGGGGGGGGTGGAATTTTGAACGTTTTTACTCTGCAATATTTCAAATGAATTTCATACGTGCTAATTAAGCGTCGTGTATTAAATGAATCTAATCATTACCTTTTATATACGTGCACAATAAATTGTTTGGATTCTTCTTGCTGTTAATCTCAATAAGTCCTGTTAGGTCCGTCTCTACGACAAGGTATATGATGACTTTGTACGATTGAAGTACGGCGCCAATCACAAGATCATACTGGTGTCTCCAGGCCTTAGATGGTAGGATGGTAGTTAAGCAGGCCTGGTGAGCTTTTTCTGAGTATGATTAAAGATGTTCCATTTATCAACAACATAAATGGAAAATCAAATTAATATATATGTATATATATATATATGTGTCTTTATTAACTCTTTTTTTGTTCTGTCGTAAGGCATAAGACCACAAATTATATTTAAATAATTAGGTTAACAATGTAAAATTAGTGTTTTTACCAATGACCTAAAATTTTATCCCAAAATGTTATAAGAATTACCGTTGACGAATTTTGATTCCCAAGGAACTGTTTAATTAATCAAACATTTGTATTACCTCTTGGGAGGTGTTCAGTGGGGAGGTATTAAGAGCTCCCCCTCAACGACCCACCTACGCCATTTCCCCAATGTGACGTATTAGCTTTTATTGTACTTTTTTATTTAGTTGCTGTTTTTTTAAGCTGGGGTGAGTGAGCTAAAGAAATGTTTCATATATTTTGTATCTTGATGGAAGAGCAGCATATGGCACATTTCAAATTTTTCATTTTTTAGTCATAAACTTAAGCCCGTTAACTCTTTTAAGAGTATCAGAAACAGACAAAGAGGTAATATGATTATAATACAAACGGGAGAATGTTTGTTTAACTAACATAATTGTTCTTTTTTTTTAAATCGTTATTTAATAGTTGTTTCTTTTAACGTGTCACAGGTAGGGTGACTAGATTTACCTGTAATCATTGAATTAATTTTATAAACGTAGAAGCTTGCATTTCCTCGTACAAATAGGAATTGCGGTCCATCGAAAGTGAGTTCAAGCACTTCACCAGCAGACTGCATGATCTCCGTTGTGGTCTCAGTCTCTCTAAAGAACTTTTTTTTTTTTTAAATATGACCCAAAAATAATGCACTTTAAAAAGTAAATGCTATTTTTTGTGTAAAAGAACATATTTCAATAACTATATACTTCTTTTAAAGATATTTGCTGAAAAGCAAACATTAACTAGTAGCAATTCATGTTTATATAATAAGTATTCAAGCGTTCACGAATTTCTTTTAATAAGGGAAGTATTACTTTTAAAGACAATTTCTTGAAAGTAAATATTTAAAAGCAGCATTTACTGTTTTGGAAATAGGTATTTGTAGTTAATCTCTTTCAAGTTATGAATCACCACCTATCAAAAATAACGTTGAAATGATTCAGTTATAGGCTCTGCATAACATAATCCAAAGTTGTAGCAGTTATATTGTTTAACAAAAAACTTGCCTCGATGGTAGTCCAATCATGAAGAGCTACGCATTTTATTAGATCTGCCGTTTGTGAGTTCATTGGATTTGACGGGAAGACAACTTACTCGTCACCAACGTATGATATTGGCAGTATCTGGTCGATGTTGGAATCTTGTGTGGTTTCCTCATTGTAGTGATGTTGTTTAAAAATTGAAAAAAAGACGTTTCACAAGACAACAACATTAAAAAAAAGCAGTATATTTAAATATATATCTATATCAATCTATACATATATTAATGATATAGTGCTTAAATATAAACATTAGGAGCCGGTCCAGAAATAGCGCTTTTCATTAAGAATATAAGAATTTCAGTTGTATGCCGTTTGTATATGAAGGCGGACTTTTCCCGCACTTTAGATGTGTGGTGTTCAAATTGTTCTGGTCTGTGAACGTTTGTCCTTGTAAGCATACTTATGAATAGGCTGAAAATGAATGTGTTCATTTTAATATGAAAAAAATCAATTTATTTGGATCAATGGAACAATTGAATCGTATCTTATGCTACGACCGTGAGGACTTATTCATTAGGCTGCTCACATGTTTTGACAGACTCACCCCAAGACTTCCAATAAGTACAGCGACTGGTTGACTAGCATTCAAATAGGCACCATCGAGATTAACTCTCATGCTAGATGTCATGACGACATGCATGGATCTGAGGGTGGCTTTAGCAAAGATGATATTCCTGGCATTATAAAATAATTTCTTTAGATATTAAATTATACCTACGCTTTTTTTTTTTTTAAACTCTGCACAGTCGTCCCTCGCCACTTCGCGCTCTGACTTTCGCGTCTTCACCCTGTCACTCTTTTCCATTAAAAAGTTGATCGAGATAGGGAACGTCATAAAGCGTGCGCACGGTAGCATGAGTCGATTTAACATCCCGTGTATTACACTTAAAATTAAATTACTGTATGTTTGCACCGTAGGCCTATGCATTCGGACATACCCACTAATCCTTCAACGTCATGTGAAGAGAAGAGTGGCAAAAATGTCATATGTTATTGGGTAGTTGTGTGTATGTGTGAACGTATGTGTGTGAATACATGTAGAATAATAATTATCTGATATATGTAACGTCACGTAGGTCTTATTTTCTCTTATTTCGTCAATTATTTTTGGTAATTCGGGTGTAATGGTGTCATAATGGGTGTTCTCCCGTGTCCAGAAGGTCTCATAATTTTAAAAGTCGTACTTAATGGATGAATAACAGGTTTTCCATGCTCTGACCAGGAATACATTCGATTTATCAATACAGAATCCCACTGCACGGAAATTCACTTATGGCTCTACAGTCTGGAACAGGCTAACCTCGATGAGCAAGGGACGAACGTATAGGATTTCCACATGACGGCATCACTACAGGCATACCTTGTGTATTCAATGTATTTAAAAATCCTTTTCATATGTTTTTTTTTAAAATGTGTTTCTTGCATAAAACAAAAGGTGTGCAAACATATTTGTCACGTATAAAATGTTTTATAAATATACGATTAAGTCATCGATAAATTTACTTTAAATCCTCACGTGCTCTGTTAATTTTAACAATTTCATGATGCGTACCATCGATCAACGTTAATTTTGATGTAAAAGAAAAACACAACATTTATGAATCTTTGTATAGTTTAAAATGTCATTAATTAAAAAAAATTTTTTTTTCAAAATAGAGTACTTGAAGTGAACTTGTCCTATAGCGAATGAAGAATTTTGGCAATCGTGTTTTCTGTTTAAGAGAAGGACGTGGGCATGGAGACCACAGCGAGTAAGTCGTCTGCTGTTTGGATAAACACGTTTCAAGTCATTATCTACATACCGGAGACACCACTTTAATTGATCAAGAATTCATCATGCAACAGTATTGCGGTTATACAGTGTTAAGAAAAAGTATACCGCAAGTAAAGAAATGAACCGATCTGAATGGCTTTATAGGTGATAATCAAGTAATACCAAAGGACTGAGGATCACATCTTTGCTATATATTGTTTTAAACAATCTTTTTAAACAACTATGTATTACCTTTGACTCTTTTTATAAAAAAATAAATTATTGATCAATTATGAAAAAAGCAAATATACTTTTTAATAGTATTAATAAAAAATAAGCCAAATTCTAGCCAAATAAGTCAATATGATATGTATCATGTTCAAACTTGCAAAAACATTATGATAAAAAAAATAAAGTGTTCACTTTCGTAACCTGATTTTTCATCGAAGACTGAAAACAGAGGGTATGAAAGGTCCTCTCCCAGTGCCTGGTAGATGCTGACAGGGTGTATGATAGTTGAGCGGGCGTGGTCCACTGATAGACCCGTTATGTACAAAGTTACCGTCACGGGTGGGTTGGACTGAATCAGTACGTGACTCGTGGAAACATCTGGGGTGGGGGGAGCTGGCGAGGGGTTGGGGGGCAATTCGTTGGGTTAACATTGGTCAATAAATTTTTAAGAAAATGAAGTCATTAAACTACTCTCTAAAGTATGTCCTAAGGTTTTAAATTGATGAACAGTGCATTTGAAAAGTGAATCAATCTATGCAGCTAATCTATTTATATTGCTTAGTTTAATTGTTAATCTATATTCTTTAGCTATATTAGGCTAAGATAAATCGACTAATTAAATCGGTAAAACGACTTTTCTTTTCTTCGGGGTTATCCTACATTTAGATGCCCCCCCCCCCTTATCGCTTTTATGTCTGCATTCTAGCTAATAAGATGCATTTTAAGGGTAGTGCATTCCCTAGGACTTTACATGTTATGCTCCAGCAATGTCCCACCATCCCTAGTTACGAAACGCTCCTCGCCATTATTTGTACCTGTGTGAGGAAGTGCCAGACGCTGATCCACGTCAAACTGACGGGGCCAACGCCAGTGTGGTTCTATTGGTCAATACGCCGTCCCTGTACGCTTCAAATGTAATGTAAACAACGAAGCTGTAGCCAGCGGTCACTTGAAGATGACCACCCGCAGTCAAATCACCGCGTGTCATATTTGGGAGAACAGCAACGTGCTGCTGGGTGTAGTCAAGTACAGCAGCTGGGCAAATAGTGCGAAATCGATGCATTGAATTTCGTTATCCACAACAGTTGAATTAATTTTTTTTTTTTTTAAAGTAAAACTTCTTTTTTTACATCGTTATTTTAATTTAAATTCTTCAAAAAATGTAAACGGGTAAGAAACGTATTTCATTTCTCAAAAAAAAAACGTACATTGGATCTGCACTATGCACTCACCCTTTTGACAAATGAATCCATGTCGCTCTTAACCATCTCTGTTTTCCCATTGGAATTCAGCGCCGAATTGGTACCACGCCAGCTGTTAACATTTCAATTTTATATTCAACTAGCCTATATCCCCGGGAGTATTCATTGGTTTTCTATTCTTATAACTAAAAATAACCTTAAGAAGACTGGAAAATTCAGATCCTGTCAGTCACTGTACGCTGAATCGTTCCCAGTCTTAGTCGGACTTTACACATGCAGTCATGGGGCTTGAACTTAGCACTTTCGATTGTGGTTAATAATGCTATGTCGAACCTTTGTCCAAAGAATTAAGTTGTATAGCAGAAAGTGAGCTAATGAGATTTGAAACTCTAATGTTTTATGTTTCTCGATTGTTGGGGTAAACGATGACAGTTATAGGGCAACTTTATTTTTATTCCGAAAAAAAAATATCAAAATAGTTTGGCTGAAAACGTGAACGAAGATAATTGTAATGATGATACCTCTGAATATAATGAATACTCTTCTAAATGTATTGAAG